AATTACGAGGCGCCTGTCGAAGACCATAAATTACCTTTGCTAGTTTACACACGAGTGGTTGACCAAGTTCATCCTTTTGCTCAAACCCAGGGGGTTGCTGCATATACACCTCCTCACTTAACTCTCCATTGAGAAAGGCATTGTTGATGTCAACATGCCTAAGTTTCCATCCACTAGAGACTGTTATGGCTAGTATCGTGTTGAATGTTGAAATGCTAGCAATCTGTTCTACTTGAGGAACAGGGCTGCCACAAGAAGCTAGAGAATCACAAAACTTCTTTACACGTGTAAGATAGGCTCGTATGCTATCGCCTCCTTTCTTTAAGGATTGAAGTTTGTAGTGAAGGCTCATAACTGCCGTAGTCGAGCGGTTGGCAAAGAAGTGAAGGACAATGTTCCAAACAGCTGCTGTTGTTTCAGCACCCACAAATTGAGGAAGAAGATGTGTGCTGATCGTGGACTGCAACCATGAGGCTAGAGCACTGTCTTGAGCCACAAAATCCTCATAGTCGTCGTTGATACGCACTGTGCCATCATCATCAACCACTGTCTCCGGCGGAGTCGTTGCCGTTCCTGTAAGTAACCGCTCCAACCAATGACTTCTGACGGTGAGCAGGATCTGCTGCTTCCACAGCAGAAAGTTCATCTCATCTAGAACGACATTCACCTTCTTATTGGTGAATGACTTTGAGCCCATGATAGACTCCATCAAAACCAATTCAGGCAGCACAAGACGATCTTGAAATCCCAAAATCAATGGCGATTGATACCATATTGAAAAACTGATGGAAATGCCGTAAAATGTTATTGAAGTAACACACACGATTACAATGCATAGCTGATGTTTATATACAACATACAACTCATAATTGCACTACAACAGAATAACCACTTCTAATGTCTTCTTAACAATTGATGCCAGCATGGCATAACAGATTTCCTGAACTTGGACTTTCAGAACTTGCTTCCAGAACTTGCTTCTTTCCTTATTCTGCTAATACAGTGCATAAGGAACGTAGCTAGCTTAGCCTAAAGTTCCACCGTTCATTATCCACCCATATATATATATATATCTGTAATAAATTATCAAACTAAAAATAGCACAATTATACCGTGCACTTGTTAAGCAAACTAAAAGACGCAATGGCATTTAAATATGACACATTTTTCAGTTCACTTCTGCAGTATCTGTAAGACGCATGCTAAAGCAATAGTATATATACTATAGAGGCCTTCCATTGCTACAGACCAACAAGCTATTTGCGGATAATTTGCCAAAAAGACACGATGATGTCACCCACACACTTCATTGTCCCTCCTTCACCACCGCTAAACTTGCTCAAAAAGAAAAATACAAACATCAAGAGTATTTATGAACTGAATGTCCGAATTTTTCTTGTGGTCTCTGATGAGTTCCATTTGGCTGCTTTCTACTAATAAAGTTTGGTTAGGAAGGTGTCAACTCTACACTGATTTGGTGTTCTTGTTTTATTTGTACCTTTATTGGGTTAATAGTATATGTATGTGTAGAAGTATCAAGCATGAGATATATATAACTGGTGCAAGCATTTATGTTAGTTTCAATGATTAAGATTGCATTTGCTATTGTGGAGTAGGTAAAATGATCATTTCTCCATGACAGAAGGGTTTGCAATTGGTACACAAAAAAGTTATTTAAATCGTCTTAGTTTGGAAACAGTTGAAAAGTGCTGCAAGAGATAATCAAAGTAAAAGAGAATTAGTTAAACTTTTTCTAATTACCATGGTAGGTCCCAAGTGAAACTGAAACTAACCATGTATATATATATATATGTAATGAGACAAAAGTTTGATGTTCACTAGAGGAATATAAAGTTCTTTGTACTTGCCCAATCCTCAACATAGATGCTTTCAATCAATTATTCTGTGTTATCTGCCATGGAATGAGCAGCTCTCTCCCTCCCTATCTGCCATTGACCGGTTGCAAATCACAGTACCCTAGACTGACAAAAGACAAACACATGGTTTGATGTTCTTCAACAGATAAGAAGAAGATAAATAATGGCAACAATCATGTCTCCAAAGATAAGGCTTTGAAATAGGGTATCATGTTGAAGCGTAAACTTGTTGATGGCGGAGACAGATTTGAAACTGGTTAGACATCGATCTGTGTATTCAGCAAATAGAATTTGGACAGCTAAAGAAAGGTTGGATCGAGTCGTGCATAGGTAGGTTTCTCGACAAAATCAAAATTATATTCCTATGGCAACCTACATGCTCCATTACTATTTCTTGACTAATGCTAAAGGTAGAACCTTTTTCTGATAAGGATATCGTTGTCTGGTTTTGTCCTCCATTAGTCTACGTAATGGAGCAGACAAAAACCCTAACCCATTAAGATTTTATCCCCCCCAACTAATATTGTCATGAATAATCCTTTATTTAATCTACTGTTATAAAGCTATGCCTTACTCGTTTCTTTTAAATTTACTGTGAAGGGTTAGGGTTGAAGTGAGAAGAAGATCAAGGATCAGGTTCTGCAGGCTTCTAGTGTTTGATAATTTGTACTGAGAGGGTAGTACAAAAAAGATGGAAAAAAATTGGCTGGACAAAGCTAATCCAACGATCTACGTCAATAAAAGAAGTTGGAATCCAACGGTGGACATAGACACATCAAAAAGGAAGCGGAAACACGGAGCCGCTCATGCCCAGACTATGGAAGATATTCATATTCTCCCACCTTATAAAAATAAGGATACCCCTTAACCCAACCACGGTCAACTTAACTCAACCCTAATCTATCATGTTGATTAAAATACCCCCTCCCTCTCTCTCTACATTCTCATGTGGTTTTTCAAGCTCACTCCTTTCGCCTACTTTCTTTACCTGCTTGCTTGAAACCCAAGTAATCTCTGGTCAACAAAAGGGACAGCTTTTTTTTTCTTCTTCTTTTCTTGTTGGTGAAGATCAGCTGAGGAAACATGAGCTGCAACGGTTGCCGAGTGCTCCGAAAAGGGTGCAAGGAGACATGTGTGTTACGTTCAAGCTTACGTTGGATCGAGTCCCCCGAAGCCCAAGGCAACGCCACCTTATTTCTCGCCAAGTTCTTCGGCCGCAGTGACCTCCTTTCTCTTATCTCTTCCGTCCCTGAATCCCAGCACCCTGGTGCTCTTTCTCACTTTATTTTCTATTTACGTTATCGATTTTTTTTATTTTACGTATATTGAAGTGTTTTTTTTTTGTTTGGATTTTGTCATAGCTTTGTTTCAGTCTTTATTGTTCGAGGCATGTGGTCGTACCGTGAATCCCGTGAACGGAGCTGTAGGGCTGTTATCCAGTGGGGACTGGCATATCTGTCAGGCGGCGGTTGATACGGTTCTTCAAGGCGGAGCGTTACGGCCAATTCCGGGGATCATAGCCGGAGTTTGGACGTCGAGTTGCGATGAGTCATCTGATGGTTTTTGTGGCAACAGCTCGTACAACTTCCAGAACCGCTACGCTGAGTCGAAGCTTTTGATGAGGATGATGATGGAGAATGAAACGGCTTCAACCGTGTCGGATCTTAGCCTCTCTTTGATGACAAAGTCCGGTGGCGGAAGGCGCTACGAGGAAGAAAAGAAGAGAGCAAAAACGATGTCGCTTTATTCGGAGGAATCGGAGATAAGTATTTCCGAGAGCAAGGAAAATGAAGAAAGCCAGAAGAGAGAGATTTTGAAACTCTTCGTCTGAGAACACTTTTACCCCCTTTGTTTTGTAAGCCGGCGATCATGTTGTGAATAACGAAGAGGAGGAGATAAGAAAGAGATAGTTGTTTTTCCACTTTTACCCCTTTTATTTAATACGCCAGAGAATCATTTTCTGAACTTTTGGTGAAGGGACATGGAAATTGGAGTCGGACCATATTTAACTCAGGTTTAATAAAATGGGCTATCCTTACCATTTGAGTTGGGGTTATCTGATTCAGATATTATGTGTTCATCATATCAGTTAATGTTTGTTGGGGTTATACATGACGTACTTCTCTAACATGGCTTTCACTTTGAAGAATAATATTAATGGGACTGTATATAGAATATAGATGGAAGGGGTACGATGTTTAAACCAACCAAGATGTAGGCAAAAGCTGAAGATGAAGTCAGCTGATTCCTCATTCCTCATGCAACAAGGAAAGAGAAAATCATCTGATTAAGAGAGACATGAGGCGTGGTTTGTAGTATTATTATACCAGCCAAAGAATGGAGATATTGTTTAAAGGGAGAAAAAGAATAGTGGGGTGCACGTCCCGCCCCCTGCGCCACCCAAACTCCTCCATTGGAAGTGGCTTCCACGGCATAACCCAGCTTTTCTTTTCATTCATGGGATAGGGACTGCAGATGTAATTAGCTATAAAAGCAAATTAACATTTTTCCTCCATTCAATCGTTTCGCCGCGTCTATTGCGTATGCTGTGGATCACACAAATTCATTTTCCTTTCTTTAAATTGGAAATCTCCACTCATTTACACGTCACTAGAAAGCATTTCCTCTGTAACCCAGCCTTATCAACTATTCTTGGTTTAATGGTTCAAACGTTCTCTTTTTTTTTCTTTCCTTTTTCAGATAAAAGGCTGTTGATTTCATTGTATTTATCTCTCAACCAATGCGGATTATGTTTACTACGAGGGGCAGGTACGGTACGGATTGTTTTTCTATATATTAATATTTTAAAATATTATTATTTAATACATTGATTAAAATTGCTACGAGAAAAAAAATCTCCATAAAATAATTATCTCATTTAAAATCCAAATGAATTAGAATGAAATGAAGATTAAAGGATTAAATAGTACATATATGTTCTGGGACTATGGTCTAAAGCAATTTCTTAAAATTAAATTTGTTCTTTATCAGGGGAAGGAAGTCCTTCAAGTGTTATATTACGCCTTTTTAATCCTTTACTTGCCAAAACAAAACCATCAAGGAAGGTTGAAAGTGTATGTATTAAAGCGAACAAAGATAGAAACACAAGAGAATTAATGTTTATTTACCCTTGGAACCATAAATTCAGGGGCCTGAATATGAGAACCCCGAGACTAAAATCTGTAAATCATCCAAGCACTTTGATCCGTCAAAAGCACTCAAAAATTAATGTTCAGAAAAGGGTTTAATTGGGTGAAAACAGATGTTTTGAGGCACAAAGGGCTTAGATGATTATTTGAATGTAGTTCAAGAGCAGCCTTCTTATATTTAAGCCAAAATTCGGATGAGGAGGGAATGGTGGTTGATGCTATGTTAGTTATTAGAGGAAAGGCAATGAAAATCACATGAGCTTTACAATTCCGTTGTCATGCTGGAAGGTAATTGATTTAGTTGTAAAATGTGTGTTCTGAGGCTACATTCTTTCACCTGCATGGCTGCAATTGTTGATACAAGTACTTGGCAATGCTCAAGTAAAGCAATCTCATTTCCACTTACATTTCCAAGTCCTCCCACCAAGGACTTGACTTCAGCAACCTATCAACCAAAAAAATAAATAAAATTAGATAAAAGTATAAAATCACAAACTAAAATTGCTAAAAGAAAAACAAAGGGAATATCCCATTGTCATTAAAGTAAGTGAAGCTTATAGTTTATCATTGTCATCCAAATTTAAATGGTAAGTTCCATTTTCATCCTTAATCCAAAGCAGGATGCACAACCTGTGTCATTTTTAATACTTGTACAACTGCTTCAGAAAACAAGCAGCTAAACTAACATCAAATCAATCTGATCACCCTTTGAGGACTGTAAAGAATTTCTTAGCAGCTACAGTTGTAACTTACGCAAGCTCTAAGGAGCTTATGCTTATAAAATGATCAATCTTTCACACTGGAACATGAAAACTTCTCGACACATGGGTACATGCACTCTAAGGTGCTTATGCTTATAAAATGAGCGATCTTTCACACTGGAACACGAAAACTTCTTGTCACATGGGTACATGCACTCTAAGGCGCTTAAGCTTATAAAATGATCAATCTCTCACACTGTGGAACATGAAAACTTCTGGACACATGGATACATGCAGTTCTAACCATACAAACAGTGTACCAGGACATTAGGAAAAGATAAAGCTTGCACTCTGCATATAATCAAGGGGACAATGGAAAAATTCAAATGTGAACATAAAAAAGAAAGTGTGAAGGGTGAAAGAGGAAACAGAGCCTAAGGATGAGAGAAACTGAGAAAGAATTACCTTGGAGAACAATGAGCATATGGAGGATGAAATTCCCTGCATTATGTCAACCGCTGAACATATAGCATCATTCAAATTTGGGACATCAACCTGTACAAATGAATAGCCAACCAAGATGTTTCCTTTAAGACCAAAGAGGCTAATACATGAAATACCACAGCTTGAACAAAATTGACAAATTCCTAAGATGGAAATTACCCTTGCTCCAGCAACAACTGGAAGGCGGAGTGTCCTAGCCATCAAAGCTTCCGTAGCCGCAGACAATGAACTGCAATAATCATGGTCCAGGACATCCCATTCATCCAAAAGCATCATCTGAACTCATCCATAAAAAAGAGAGTAAACGCATGAATTGAAACATGCAATTATAGCTGACACGAATATGTAAAAGGTTTTTTCAGATAAGGAGCAAATTGAAAGTAAGATAAAAGGATGAGAGGAAATGGGAAGGGGGAAGAGAGATGGCAAGAGATAGAACAGGAGAGAGAGATATGCAGTTTGAATTCTAACGGAAGAGGTAGAGAATGAGAAAATAGGATAATCAAGTTCAAGATGAGCAAAATAATCAAATTAACAAGGTACAAATCCACAACGGAGACATGGTTCTTACTTTCCCCTTCAGGATGGAAATCAGCTTCAATTTTTGCCTAAGCAACTGTAACTCAGTTCTTTTCGCTCTAACAGATTCTCGAAGTTTTGAGGTAGTTATCCATGCGCTATAGAGATTTTTCTGTTGCAATAGCACAATAAAACAAAAGGATTTCTCATCAGATTTTAACTTATGTAAGTAACCTCAGAGACAATAAGATAAACTAAGGTTCTTACAAACACAATGCAAAACAATAATTAAAACAAATGCTAATCACTTCAACTATTGAAAAATAAAAAATCTCAAGCTAACTCCTATTTCCCCTGCTTCGTGTTTCTCAATAAATTTATTCAACCATTGCTATTTCTATGGCACATAGAGTCTGGAAACTCTGCTTGCCTTTAATTTGATCAGACTGTTCCAGATATAGTGAATGCAACTATTATTTCTCCCTGTTTCTCCTATCTCGGACTAAAATCTTTGAACCATCGCTGTTTCTATGGCACATAGAACGAAAACTATGCTTGAATCTAATTTGATCCGACTGTTCCAAACGTAATGAATCGCCTCTAACTCATTCCTTAAGCAAGAAGATCAGCAACTAATAAGCCAGTCTCTCCTCTTGAGACATTTGGTCCTTTTAACTTCTATTGTTAATTTGAAACCACAACCTACTGAACTCATTGTCTCTCAGGTGCCCTTGGCATGCAGAGTACGCATACAGTTTAAGTTCCTCTTTTCATTCTTGTATCGGCATCCATTTTCACTTATTAAAGAATTGCACTAAGATATCTTTTTAAACAGACGAAGTAAGAATTTGTAATGGAAAAAGCTGTCAACAGAATCGTTTTAACCCACAAAACAACTATGCTAGAAAGCAATATCAAAACTAAATCTACCATATGATAGAAATTACAATCAATCAATAGAATAACCATAAAGCTGGAGTGTCAAGCCTTCTCAAGCAGAAAGTGACATTGGGAGTTCCAATTTTGCCAATAACACTATTTGTCTGTTCATATCATAGAATCTAAATTTTAAGTGTGAATTCCTAGCAACGATGTAAAAATACATAATGTAAAACTGGCAAATATCATGGTAAAATGCAATATGGGAGCAATTCAGCCATACCTCTGCATTAGAGGTCTGGGGAAAAACAGCAGCATCTGCTCTAGCATTGGTAAAACGCCATTGCAACAGCCTATTATGAAGTAGCCTCAACAAATGAACATCCGAAGCCTTATTTTCCCCAATCTTGCCCATCTTAAGAACGTCACCAGCAAAGCTCAAAATTGACGGAGTATTTACCAAATTAATAGCGGATCCATTCCGCACTCTAGAGGGGCTCATTCCCCTCGAAGGAGAGGACACACCAAGCTTACTCGGCGATGCAGGCCGAACTGATCCACGAATCGGAGATAACTGTCCTCTGCTGTTCACTACACCTTTAGGAGACGACAAAGGACTATCAATACCGAACTTGTCTGGTGCAAGTATCTTAGAGTGAGCAGTAATTTTCTTAGAAACCGGCGAGAGAGGACCGGCCCGGCGTAACCGACTACTTGTCTCTTGCAAAAACCGGGCCGGAACTATTATCCCCCGAGACCCACGCTTAACGTCTCCATAGCCGTTAGAAGAACTTTCAGGAGCTCCTGCACTACCAGAAGAAATATTTTCAGTATCCGAAGCCGCGGGATCAAATTGAGCCTCGGATCCAACGGCTGTAACACCTGTTGAATCTCTAGTGTCAATCATGTAATTTTGTAGTGCCCTAACTACATTGCCGTTAACAGATCCGTTTAACCTCTTCTTCTCGTCGGCGAAATCGACGCTTCGACTCATTGAATTCAATTTCCTAAAGCCGGACGACAACCGCTCCACGTTTGAATTTCCCGTTTGATCTATTCCTCTAGCCGGTGTCGGTGTGATCGGCGTTGGCTTTCTCTTCTCCGGAGTGCCTTTCCTTGCTGCGCCTGGAGATGGAGCTGGTTTAGCTTTGGTAAACTGATAAGAAAACGAATCTCCCTGAAACGAAACAGATAGGCTTCTCGTCGAAGTGAAGAGCAACTTCTGAGCAGCGGATAATTCGCCGTTACTGTTACCTTCACTATTTCTCAAATTCATAGAATTGTTAGGCCGCGGCGTCACCACCTGCCTCCGCTCCACCGATTGCGACCGCTTGTTATTCGATGGAGTTGTTGACTTCGAAACAAACGGCGACAGGCACCGCTTGGTAGAAGCCGCTGAAGAAGAAGACGATGACATTGAGGAATTTGAGGATGACGGCGTGGACAAATAACGAGAAGTGACCTCACGGAACTTCTGACGGCGGGGAGCAATAGCATTGTCGGGGTCGGAAGGCAATAAAGGAGGCCGTGATGGATATTGGTGTTGGCCGTATGGTTGTGGCTCTCCGCCACGCTGTTTGGGGTTTACCGCTGCGGACACTGTAGCTACCATTGCCGTACACACAAAATTGAATCCGCAGAATCTCAGTGATTCATAAGCTCACTCACTCCAAAACCCTATAAGCACTCCTGAAAATCTCACATCCAAAACAACGAGGGAATCAGCGTTCAAAGTTAATTAGAAAACAAAAGGAGCAGAAACACTAAATGACCGCTAGCTAGGAACGAGAGCGTAAGAGTAGAAGCGAGATAGTGAGAAGGGTGTGAGCAGTTTAGGCGAAATTTGAGTGCATAACGTTGTGCTCGTATTTTTTTCCTTACATCGGTTTTCAAACTTGAAGAGAGAGGAGCGTAATCGCGAGACAGGGAGGGGGGACTACACTCGCGTAGAGGAGTGGTAACGTCTGTAGATGATTGTGATATCAGAAAATAATGACACGTGCAGGCGAGTAGTTGTGGGGATAATTTTAGGAGAAAGTGAAAGGAACGAGGAATGTTGAGGTGAGAACTGTGAAATATTCATAGACGTTACGCTAATGCTAACCACGCTCGAATTTAAATTCTTTTAAGAGGACGTTGAAGTATTATTATTGCATAACTGTTTTTTAAAGGTAAAATTGAGCGAATAATTTAAACTGATTATTTATTTGGCCGATAACCAACTTCATATTTATCTTAGAATATACCACAAATGCTACCGTGACAAACTCTTAACTCATCACGTCCATCTTATGAATTTGTTTAAAAATTATTTTTAAAGGGATTTAGGTTTGTGGGTCCTTTCAGATTAAATTATTTAATATATTTCAAGAAATTCATGATTATTTAGTATATTTCAAAAAACTCGTTACGTGGATATGATGAGTTCTGTTAAAATATATTAGTTTTATGAAATAAATAATATATTTTTAATAAAAAATTTAAATTTGGTTTTATGAAATTAAACTAGAGGCGATACAATTTTACCGAAAGTTATTTACTAGTGAGGACAGTGAGGTTGTGGACTTACCTAGGGGATTATATGTGCGTGCTGCCTCAATGGAGGAATTATTCAGACCCATCTCAATGAAGAAATACACATAGTCATATTTGTCATGGCTCCATGGAAAGCACCTGGAATGGACGGTTTGCCTATAGGTGTTTACCAAAAGAATTAGGCTACTTTTGGAGAGTCTGTTTGCTCTTTTATTAGATATATTTTCGAGAGAGGTAGTTGGCCATCCACTCTAAATCATACTTCGTTAGTGTTACTTCCTAAGGTACCTATCTTGGAAAAGTTCAACCAATTTCGTCCAACTAGTTTATGTAACTTGATGTATAAAGCAATTACAAAACTAATTATTAATCGACTAAAACCTTATTTGCCACATTGGATTTCTAAAAATCAGACTAGTTTTTTGTTTGGTCGCTCGATGGTGGGCAGTATTATAATTACTTAGGAGGTGATCTATTCAATGAGACATAAAAAGGGACGAAAAGGATGGATGATGATTAAAATCGACTTAGAGAAGGCTTATGATCGATTGGAGTGGAGTTTTATCGAGGAACCTCTAAGCGATCTAGGTATTCTGACGAACTTGATTCATTTAATAATGAAATGCATTACCTCGTCTAGCATGAGCATATTATAGAATGAGGGGATGACGAATGAATTTCAACATTCGCGAGGAGGTGATCCTTTATATCCGTATATCTTTGTGCTTTGTATGTAACTTTTAACACAACTTATACAGTTGGAGGTAAACTCAGGTAGTTGGCGACCGTTTAAAACATCCAGCGCTGCTCCAGGTATATCACATCTAATGTTTGCTAATGATATGGCGCTTTTAACTGAAGCAAGTCGGCATCAAGATCAACTAATTCAGGCAGTTCTATCTCGTTTTTGTGCGGCTTCCAGACAAAAGGTAAACTTTGCTAAAACTACAATGTTTTTTTCTTCTAAAAACGTGGATCTGAATATGAGCAATCAGATTAGTACTGAGTTGAGATTCACAGTGGTGTCAGATCTTAGGAAGTACCTCGGTGTACCTTTACTTCATGAGCGGGTCACGACAGCGTCATACCAATATTTAATTCAAATGGTGAAAGACAGGTTGAATAGCTGGAAAATGAGATCTCTATCATTTTTTGGTCGAATCACATTGGCGAAATCAGTTCTCATGGCACTCCGTACATACACGATGCATTCGACAGCAATACCACGACCAATCTGTAGGAGTATAGAAGGTCTAATCAAACATTTCATTTGTGGTACGTCACTGAACAAGAAAAGAATTCATCTTGTTAAATGGGAGAACATTTGTCAACCCATTAAAGACGGAGGATTGGGATTTCGTCATTTGACCTTTCAAAATGAAGCATTTTTAATGAAGCTCGCTTTTAATATCTTGACGAACAAAAATAAGCTTTGGGTTCGTTTTCTTCATGTGAAATACAAAATGAAACATTTGATTCGGAGCGTAAACGTCGTCATCTCAACTTGGATAGCAGTTGCCCCCTTTGCAGTGACCCGAATGAGGATATAAATCATACACCATGTCTTTGTCCATCAGCACATACAATATGGGCGAGAGTGGTAAAACGAGAACGACTGCAAGAGTTTATTGAAATGAATATTGCTGATTGGATAATAATGAACCTGTGTGAATTCTGCTCAATACATTGAAAAGAATGATGATTGGGATATTTTGTTTGGTGAGTTGGTATGGAATATTTGGATTTCTAGAAATGTAGTGGCTTTTGATAACCCTTTATCCGATGAAAGACCAGCACTGGAACGCAGTCTCCATTGGCTGGATATTACAAAAAGGGTGGGATGGTTTAAGGTTAACTCAGACGAGGCTCGTTGTAAGGAAAATGGATTGGCAAAGTGTGGAAGGGTGATCTAAAATCATATAGGTAACTGACATACAAGTTATTCCAAGTTAATTGGACTATGCTCAGTACTAGAAGTGGAGTTATGAGGAGTGTATTGTGGTTTACTGTGCGCATGGGACTTGGGTTGTCGACAAATTATAGTTGAGACGAATAGTTTGGAAACGATCAAGGTGATAAAACAGGCTAAGGACGGTACATTTCAGTTTACACTATTACACAACATTCTTGAGTTGGTGCAAAAGAACTGGGTGGTTCATTTTCAGTATTTTTCCAGGCTTGGAAATCAAGTTGCGGATGGAATGGCAAAATTAGCAAATAGGTGGAGCTTGGAATGCAAGGTTGTTATGGAGGCACCCGAGGAAGTGAAACAAATATTACAGGAAGACCAAAACAATAGCAATGTATAGCCGTTAGTTTACTCTTTGTTACAAAAAAAAAATGAAATTTGTCTTGTGACGAGTTCCTTTTGAATTTTAAATGTATAGTTGTTACTTGAATGTTGGGCAACATGCATAATATTTTTAAATTCCACTGAACTTGTCATGTGGACTAACGAGTGACAACGATCTTATTGAATTTTTTATTAGAAATCGGAGTGAGTTGATTGTGTTAATATGAGAAATGATAAAACCAAATCATGAGTCAGTGGGAACTATTTGGGTATGATTTGACGAACGATTTAGATTCAAGGTCATCTTCAGATGAAGAGCGGGTAAATCATGCATTAATGTCGACAGTTGAGGAAAACAAGCAGACGAGGAAAGTTGAAGAAGATAATAAGAATACGATGAAAATTGATAAGAAGAAGAAGTATAATGACTTACCAATCCGGCGTAGCAAATGATTTGTAGAAAGAGATGAAAATAATAAAAATAATAGTATGAAATTTGAGAATAAAAAAAGAAGATAAAAGAAAAATATGAAGATTTACCAATCCGACGTAGTAAATGAATTATAGAACGGCGTAAAAAATATTAAAATAATATATGAAAAAATATTGATTTCTATGGTCTAAATATACGTATGAATTTTTCTTTACTAATTAAGTAATTATTGTAGTAAGTAAATTTATTTATGAATAATTTTAAATTATATACGAATAAAAATGGAAGTTGAAAATACATAAAAAAATACATTCCAAAAAATATGAAGTGAAAAATAAAAATTTAGAGTAGTACATAAACACGGTTAAAAAACAACAAATAAAAACACACATTATCTTCAATGTCGATATTTAGGAAGATGCAGACAATGTTTCCTGTTGTGGCCTTCACCTCTACAGTAGCCACAAAACTTTTATAGACATTTCTCTCTTTGAGGATCATCCATATCAGTATAAATTTGGCTAGATTTAGGTTGGTCCTTCAACTTCCTATGCAATTCTAGATTTGGTAATCATTCTTCAAAAATAGTTGGTGTAGGCCAATAAACATTGTTTGGAAGATACTTAAACTGACAATTGTATGTGTACGCATAGTATTCATGCTATAACACTTGTCAACATAAGAGTATGAGTCAACATTAATGTACAAACATGCAAAGATAGCTTGAGCACATGGGAATCTAAAAGCTTGAAATTGACTGCAATCACACAATTTTTATTTAGATTATCATTATATGTGGTAGAATTATCTCCCTTATGTTGTCGAACAAGGGCTTAGATAACGCAATCAGAATCAAGTCAAACAAATTTATGAACAAACATTGATGTTGCATGTGATTGATTTTTTTTTTTTTTGCATTGTCTTCTCTAAATCTAAAGCCCAATTTCTCCTTTCGTTGGTCATGGCATTTATTTTTGCACTTTTGTTTATCCAAAATTTTCCTAACCTAAAGTAAGTATTCCTGACAATAATTATTATCAGAAGATGTCGAGTACCTCTAATCACTAAGTTTTTACATTCGATAAGGTTGATTGTCATATAGTCGTAACATCAACACTAATCATCATATGCTTACGACCATCTTTTCCCAGAGATTTCAGCTAGGAATGGTAACGGGTCGAGTTTTTGGTCAATCCAACCTGGCCCGAAAATATGCACCATCCACCCGAACCTGACCCGAAAAATTTTATATCCTACATCTGACCCAACATGACCAAAAAATATATATCCTCCAGCTAGCCTAATTTTTTAGAGTATAAATCCGACCTGACCGACCTGATATAAATTAAGGATTTAATTAAAATAATAATAAAAATTTTAAGAAAATTATATTATTATGCTCGGATCGGGTCAGAGTTTTTTCACCCTCAATCCAAACCCGACCTAACTCTAATTCACCCTTTAAAAAAATTGACCCATACCCGAAGTTTTTTAAAAAAAATCCAACTCAATCTGGTCGGA